GGTAGCCATTGTGCGCGTCGGAGGGGGTGCAGGAGGAGCGGTCGAGTTGTTCGATGGTTCGCTCATCGGATCGGCTGCTTCGCGTCCTCCTGGTTCCTCGCGACGGCCCGGCTCAGATGCGGCTAGATCCCACCTTCGTCGCCACTTTTGTGTAGTGGGAAGCCGCATGGATCGACGACAGACAACGACGTGGTGCATAGCACGCTTTATTAGGCACACAACAAGACATGCAGACAAACGGCCGGCAGGCCAACTATATACACACCTGGGGACCACCCCTTGGTCACCATTGGTGGGTTTGAATCTCCCGCCATGGCTCCCATTGGTTCCCCAGTGGAGGAACTAGGATCCTAGTCCCCATTGTCTTCCCAGACTGAAGCTCGGGTATATGCGCTGACCTCCGGTGGCGGTCAGTGGACACAACAGAGCAATAACTGCTCCTTTATCACACGATGCAATAGCAAAACAAATGAAATATATTTTTAAAAGTGCCATTTACGTGAGGATCAGTCTGTATTGCATAGACCCATTACTATTGGGAAAGGAACAGGCATACTCTGAGCCAGGGGTCATTTCCTGCAGGAGCGCAGCTCCGGCAGTAAGGAGCTCAGGGGGCAGGCACATGCAACAAGCCCCGCCCCATGCTCCCAGCAGCCCTCAATCAGGCCATGAGGAGCAAGCAGCAGCCAGGTAAGTTGCAGAGCCCCCCCTGCCCACCTTCAGGTACAAGCTCTCCCTCCTCTGTGAGGGCAGATCTGCGCGTTCCCCCCCCCATAGCTAGCAATCCAAAACAGTCTAGTGGAGCCTGAGCGGTGGGTGTTGCCTTCTGACACACTTTTAGTGATGTCAGGGGGTGTGACATATGCAAATAAGTTATGCTAATGAGTTCCTGCACCTCTTTTTCCACAAAATGACCCCTGCTCTGAGCAGAACAAGGTAGAAATATGGCATAGTGGCTGCCACACCAGTTTGCACCAAGGTAAGATGCAGTACAAGTGTTTTTTAGACCAGCGGTCCTCAAAAGTTGAGCTTCTGGGTTTAACATTTTCCCCCCATCCCCCAAGTCCTCCAGTGTTTACTCACCAGTGACCAGTGTTCCCTCTAAGCTGAGTTAGTGTGAGCTAGCTCACAGTTTTTTAGCCTCCGGCTCACAAATTTTTGTCTCAGCTCAGGAAGGAGGGCTCCAGAGCAAACTAATTGATGCAGCAGCCAAATCGCTCGCTCACAACTTTAATGCTAGTAGCTCACAAAGTAGAATTTTTGCTCACAAGACTCTACAGCTTAGAGGGAACATTGCCAGTGACTGCCACATACCACACAGCCCCCTTTGAAGGTGTGCATGGCAAGCTATGAATCCCTGTGAAGGCCTCTCTCCTCTTGCATCCTCAAAACAGTAAGAACCACCTGACTTGCACTTTTTTAAAAAGCGTTGATGATGTTGTCTGTACATGGTCTAAAAGTTCAGGTCTCAAAGAGCAGCTGATTCTATAAGGCCACAACTCCAAAGGCCCTGATCCATGTTCTAATCAACCAGAGGCCAGCTGGACTAGGGTGGTAAGGGGCCTGGAAAATTTTAGAACTGCTCACAGAAGTTAAAACAAAAAACCAGCATCCAACCAAGCTTGAAATTGCAGTATTCAATGGAAAAACACTTTTTTGTGTATTTTGTGTGTGCGCGCCTAGAAATCATGGTTGACTTCTGGCAAGCCCTAGTGTGGCTTGGACGTTTCAGGGAGGTGGCTTACTATTGCCTGCCTCTGCGTCCCAGCCCTGGTATTCCTTGGAGGTCTCCCTTCCAAGTACTTGGAAGGGTTGGGCCTGCTTAGCTTTCGAGATCTGACAAGATTGGGCTTGCCTGGGCTATCCAAGTCAGGCCTGGAAAACCACTCTTTATATTTAGTACAGTGCATTCACAGACTTGACATGCCCATCTGCTTCCAAAATGCCAAAGGTAATAAAACCATTTTCTCATTAATTAATGTTAAAGCAATTACTCCTGGTGCTGCGGTGGCTCAAGTGGTTAAGACGCTGAACTGCAGGCTGTGGAAGGTCAGTAGTTCAGCAGTTCGAGACGCGGATGCCGCAAGACGGAGTGAGCTCCCGTCTCTAGTTCCAGCTCCTGCCAACCTAGCAGTTCGAAAGCAAGAAATTGCAAGTAGATAAATAGGTACCACTTCGGTGGGAAGGTAACAGCATTTCGTGCGCCTTGGTGTTTAGTCATGCCGGCCACATGACCACGGAAACGTCTTCGGACAGCGCTGGCTCTTCAGCTTTGAAATGGAGATGAGCACCGCAACCCTAGAGTCGGATTCCACTGGCTTTCGAGCAAGGGAACCTTTACCTTTACCTTAATCTGTACTCAGCGCTAGTTGCAGATCCCTTCTCCAATTTAGGGGAATGAGCCTGTTATTTGGATACAAACTGCTCAAAGTACCAGTAATGAAATGCTTTCCCAGTCTCCTTCAGGCTACATGGCAATGAAATCCAAGGAAAAAGTCTTACCTGAGTATGACAGATGCCAGATTTTGTACTGAATATACATATTAAACAGCCAGCTATTAGCCTCACCAAGAAGCATGAGATATAGGAATCAGTCACAGGTGAAGGGCTGGTTCGACTATTCAGTCTTCTAGTAACAACTTACATACAGTTGGGTATGGGGGCAGATCTCATGTCTCCACACTGCATGTAGCTCTGACTGAGAAAGGGAATATCTGAATAGATCCTTGTTTTTACAGTAGCTCAGGCTGCAATCGTATCCACACTTGAAAGAAAATTCCACTGAAACAAATGGGGATTGCAAGTAAACATGTACTAGGTCAGGCCGACAGACAGTTATAATGTAACACTTATTTAGATCTTTATACCCTGCTTTTCTCTCCAATGGGCACTCAAAGCAGCTTACAACATGGCTCTCAACTCATCACTTTTATCATAAATATATTTAGATACTTAAAATGTTTTGGGAGAAACAATATTAATTTAATGAAAAAGCAGCACAGTGGGCATTGTACAGGAGCAGAAATGCACTGAACTGATTTCAAGATTGTCCTGAGGACGGGACTTCCCCCCCCCATGTCCCGAGGATGGGACTTCCACCCCCC